GACAGACGGCCCGGAGCCTGCACCTTCCCAGCAACTGCCTGGCGGCTGTCCAGTCCTCACGCACAGTCCTGACGGCTGGAGCTGTCACACGGTCCAGCTTTTGCCTTTTCCCAGGGGGCAGGTCTGAGCTGTTCATGGCGGCATTGGAGCTGCAAAAGTCGAGCGGCCCCTGTGTTTCCAGCAGCCCTGATCTTGTCCTTGGAAATGTGGTTTTCTGCCTCCAAAACGGAAACTCTGTATTTACCATGAAAGACTTTAGGAACAGCCAGCCCCACACGCGGGAATTCCTGTGGAGCTATGCGAGCTGGGAACCTGGCCCAGGCTTTCAGGCTCCAAATGAATCAGCATCACGAAGCCCTCGACAGAGGAGACAGAGCTGGCTGCTGCCTTCCTGGGGGAAGGGCATAAAGGTTCATCGCAGGCCTCTGCTCTGCTCTCCACTGGGCACCGTGGAGTTCTAGACATGGGCCGGGAGGCTGCCTGGCTTCAGCCTGGGTCACTTGATCCTCCAGGGTTGACTCACATGCCGTGGTGTCCTGCACCCCCAGTAGTGGTGTTCTGGGCCCTTGGAGCCCTGTATTGGGTGCTCAGGTCACTGGATGCAGGAGGAAGTGACCTCAGGAGGTGGCTATAGGGGAGAGCGCCATCTGCTAGTGACCCCCCAAACCTGGCTGGCCCTGGCTGGGGAGGGGCATAACCACAGCTTCTCCCCCTCTCTCACGGCCTTGTCCTGTTAAGCCCCATCTATTAGATGTGCTACAAGGAGAGAAGAAGTGTACATGTGAGTGTGTGTGTGTGCATGTGCAGTATATGTGCACGTAGCGTGTGCATGCACGCAGCATGTGTGCAAGTCGGGGGGATGGTGCGTGCATGGATGCATGGGGTGTGTGTGTGAGTGGCACCTGTGTGTGCTTTAGTCAGGCGTGAACAGTCAGAGCTTAGTGTTGAGTGTACTATGTCAGTGCTCACTTTTGGGAAGTGACCCAGGGACCCAGGTGGAGGGGGGAGGCCAGGGGAGGAGACAGAGGCAGCAGTGGTGTGGGACGTCTCAGCATTGGCCCCACAGGGGTCCTTTAATCTCGGGCGTTTTGCAGGTGAGAGGGCCACGTGGGTTTCTGTGGGCTTCCCTCCGGGAGGTGGCCAAGAGGCTCCAGGACTCTAAGGCCAGAGGCTATCAAGAAGGACACCAGGGGACAGGACACAGGACACCACGGCACCAGGGGCTATCACAGTGCTGGTTGCCATAGCCACCCCCTGCTGGCTCAGGGGAAGCAGGAGAGGGGTCAGGTACCATTAGGGGGGTCTCCTAGCAACCTGGGCAGAGTCACTCAGAGCTGGAAGCCCCTTGGAGTAGAAAAGTCAGAATCTCACCCTGCCTGCCTCCTGGCTTCCCACTCTCTTTGCTTCCTCCACCCCACCTCGGGGAGAAGGAGTAGGGCCCATTGCAGACCAGAGCTGAGATGAGGGTGGGACACTCCACCAGAGTGAGTCTGGTGTTAGAGAGATGTTGCCCACGTGCCCAGGAGCCATGAAGAAGGTTTGTGCCACATTCGATGGGGTTCCTGTGTGGCCTGGAACAGGGTCAGTGCCCAGCTCCACTCTTGCTGGGAGAGGCCTCTCTCACGGGCACTCAGTGTGTGGTTAGATGCCAGAGGACCCTGGAGACTTCCTCTTCTTAGGGCTGGCCTTGGCAGCAGTGGGCCTGTCTATGTGGCCAGGGGCACTGCTCCCTGAGTTGGGCCCCAGATGTGGCCATGCTACCTGGAATACGCCTAGCTCTTTGCTTGGCCCTTGGTGGCTGTGCCCTCAATGAGGCCTCCCCAGCCAGCAAGGTCCTGGGTGACTGTGGGAAGAACACCTGTCTCATACCCAGTGATGCGGTGTTCAACACACTCAGCACGGAGGGGCCAGGGCCAGCTGCTCTCTCTCTGTGCAGTGTTCAGGCTCATGGGTTGCCCTGTGCCTGGTGGGGAGACTGCCTGCCTAGCCCATGCAGGAGGTTAAGAGGGCATGGCACACCATGCCTCCCTGGAAAAACCCTGGTAGAGGGATCAGCACATTGAGACTCCCCTCCCCCCATATATGACCTGACTGCTGGCAGGCGACAGGAACCCCAGGCACATTTCCCCCACCCCTACTTCCTGTTGAGGGACCTTGTGATTGTCAATTAGGTAAACAGATCCCAGGTGTGGCCCAGACCCATAAGATTACCTGGAAGCCTATGTGGGCTACGTGACCTTCAAGCTGATTGGAGAAGCCTAGAGGTGCCAGTATTGGCTTTATCCTTTAGAATTAGTGCTGCTACTCTGAGATAGCTACTCCCCTTTGCCTGCCCTATAAAAGCTTGTGCCTAACTCCTAATAATCGGACATATTCACTGAAACTGTCTCCAGTACTTCTTGTCGAAGAACACCATCGCCCCACCCCGCAAGACAAGCCCACACAACTATGATGGGCTGTGTCTCCGTGCAGATCTAGCCTCGGGGCACCAAGGCATGTATGCAGCAGGCTGGGCATTCTCCAGCACACGGTCATGACTCTGCCCTGGTGCTGAGTGTGGCCTTCCCATGGGTGCAGGGGAGGGGCCTGCCCTCTCAGGACCCTCACTCTCTCTGACTACCTCCTCATTTGAGATTCCTTACGCGTCGGGGGCAGCCGCCATCAGATGTTGATTTGTTGGGCAACTTGGTGGAAGATAACTCAACAGCAGAGGGGGCAGCTCCAGCCCCAGCCTCATTCAGGGGTCACAAAGCCAGCAGAGCAGACCCCTGACTCTGGGCTTCTGTTCCTTCCTCCCCCACCATTGCGGGAGGGCAGCTCAGCCCTGAGCCCCATGCAGCAGCCACTGGCCTTTGCTTGTGACTTGTGTCTGCAGCTCCAGGCAGGGCAAGCAGGTTCCCCCAGCCGGGCTGTGAAAACAAGGCCCCCAGGGCCACCCAGCTCCAGCCTGCTGCTCCGAGCACAGTTGTTGACCTAGGGCACTGTGGTTAAGGCCACAGAGGGACAGCTGAGAGTCCACTGTGCCTGTGGAGGCTTCCAACTAAGCCTTCAGGGAGCACTGTCACTGTCCATCAGAAGACAGAGGGGGACAGTGGCAACAACACAAAGCCAAGCCTCCCTAGACAGAATCGACTGTGGGGTGAGGACTGTTGTCTCCCTCCCTCCCTCTCTCTCTCTTTTTAATAAGACTTACTTATTTGAAAGGCAGAGTGACAGAGAGGGAGAGACAAGCAGACTCTTCCATCTGCTAGTACACTCCCCAAATGGTTGCAATGGACAGGGCTGGGCCAGGTCAAAGCCAGGAGCCCAGAACTGCATGTGGGTCTTCCACAAGGGTGGCAGAGGCCCAAGCACTAGGGCTAGCTTCTGCTGCATTCCCAGGTGCATCAGCAAGGAGTAGGGATTGAAAGTTGAGCAGCTAGGACTTGAACCGATACTTCAATATAGGATGCTGGTGTGTCACGGGCGGTGGCTTAACCCACTGCACCACAGTGCCAGTCCCAGGACTATACTCTTAAAGCTGGACTTCCTGGGTTCAAATCCCAGCTGTTCCACCTCTATTGCCTCCTGAGGAAAGCTGGTTAATGGCTCTTGCCTCAGTCTTCCCATCTATGAAATGGGTATGATCCTAGTTCCTGCTTCATAAGGCTGATGTGAGGATCAAAGTAAGATGTATGTGGAGCATGGAGTGGGTGTTTAATGAGTGCTTAGGACACACGTTGGTGGTCATCATTTGCAAGGGTGCAGCAAAGTCCACATGTTTGGAACCACCCAGCATGGAGCCATCCCCCACCCCCACCACTTGCCTGTGGGCAGGACTGCCGTAGCCACTGTCGCCACAGGCTGCTCAGCTGGGCCTTGCTCCCCCAGGCAGGGCCAGGGGAGGTGAGGACAGAGCCCCACAAAGCACAAAGCTGGATGGCCTCTGTGGCTATTTTGTGGGTCAGGGGCTAGGGTGCTTGAAGCCCGTGTGCTTAGCAAGCATGGATTCAGAACGGAGACTGGGTGTGACTTGGATGTAAAACGGCACCAGGCCTAGAGGGGCTGTTGCATCACCTCCATGGTTGGACCCCTGTCTGTCGGACACACTGCAGGCCTTCCTGGTGTCTTTCCTACAGTGATGGGTTCCTGTGACTTCCTCTTCCCACACTCTCTGCTTGGAATAATATTTCTGTAGTCGGGCATGGGCTTAGCACATGGGTTTTAGGGCTGGACAGCCAGACCTGAGAGCTGCGGAAAGCCCCCGATCTGAGTGGCCTGGGGGAGTCCCCTTAGCCCCTTCTAACCCTGGGGGCCCCTCCAACAGAGACCCACACGTCTTCCACGTGGCCTCGTTGGGGGCAGGGGATAAAGTGAGCACAGGGCGGCCTCCCTGGGTCAGAACCGGCCCTCGCTCTCCTCTCCTCTCCAGCCACTGCGGTTTAATCTCCCACAAGCTCAGTTAATTTTCACGAGTGAAACGGCCTATTTTAGGAAACACTGCCTCTGATGTGCTTCAGGCTGTCGGGCTGGCTGTCTGCCAGCTGCCGGCTGGTGTAACTCGGCGTTCTGGAGGGCCTCCATGGGAGGGAGTCCATGCACCTGCACCCTGCACCGCGGAGCTAAAGCCACAGAGGCAGGGCAGCGCCACCAGGCAGAACGACCCCAAGGAAGGGAGGTAACCCATGTGCAGAAGCTCCGCCTGCCCTTCCAGGCCAACAAGCCCCGGGAGGGGACTGGGACACTCCCTGCACGGCCAGCCCCTTGCCCGGAGGCTTGATTCCTATTGCCCACAGCTGGTGGATGTCTGGTGTCAGTGTGGCATCTGGCATTGCTGCTGGCCTCAGCTCCCCACCCTGAGACCCACAGATCTGCTGTCCCCAGGTGGGAACACCCAGGTCGCAGGTGCGTGAGCTCACGGGTGTGTGGGCAGCAGGCCCCCAGCTCTGCTCCTCCTCAGGGGTGGCCCCCTTCTGCTCAGCCCTCACAGCCACAGCCCCCCAGTCCAGACACGAGGCCGCTCCATGTTCAATTTTATTGAAAGACTCAGAAACACAGGCATCAGGGTTTGTCATCACTGTCAATTCTTCTAAAACCACACGCTGACATTTGTGTATAACAGAAACATCGGGGTGAGTGTGTGAACTGTGCAAAGTACGAGGGGTTTCCCAGTCACTCAGCTGGGCTCGGTTCGGAGCGCCGGCCCCGCGTCGCCTCTGTGCCCGCTGCCCGCCATCCAGAGGCCCTCGGTAGGCCTGGCTGTCTCCCGGGCATAAGCCAACCCTCCCATCATGGCTGTGGACTCCCTGCCCCCACCCATCTCCATGCCTCCGAAATGTCCTGCTAGCTAAGCCGTGCACGTGCAGGGCCAGGTTCCAACAAGGAGCTGGTGTCATGTGGGCAGCCCAAACCTGTGTGCCCTTCAAAGCCTGAGGGAAAGGGCTGGTTCTCCCCCGTCTGTGGGGCTGCACTGTCCTGATGGCTCAGGGCCTTGAACTTAGCCCAAAGATTCCACCCATGCACGGCCAGGTGCACGCTCCCCTGCTCTCCGTCAGCCCGTCGACGCTCCGGCCTGGCCGGAGAGCAAGCCCTGGTGCTGGCGGGGCCCCCGGCGTCCTCCTCCTTTCTGAAGCAGTGCCCACGCTCACCCTTGACCTTGCCACGAGAAAGGCCAGCTGATGTCTCCCAAAGGCACCTTGATACCAGCCCCACTTCCACCATGGGCCGGGGTGCTGGGCCAGGAGGACGGCAGCCGCCCCATCCCGGGGTGCTGAACATAGTCCTGCTCTGAGCACCCGGCCTGGGCTGAGCCTGGGAGGAGAGAGGAGGCCTGAGCCAGTCCCCCTGAGGCTTGGCAACTGCTCTCTTGAAAACCATAAAGACTTCTTATAATCTTGAGACCTGAGTAGGTTCTGGTCTTGCTGTGTTTCACTCAGGGCGTCAATGCACCTGCTGGCTGACAACGGGAATTTTAAAAACGCATGGGACTTTTGTGCTTGGTGGGCGACCGATCTGGCAATGATGGTGACATCTCCTGGTTGTCACTGAGCCAGCACAGGGCTGCTCTGCTTAAGCCACAAGTGTTTCTTCTCTGCTCAGCACAGACGCCTCGGGTTGACTGCACCTGCTCTCATCTGCAGGGAGGAAAAGAGCCTTTGTCCAGGAGGGAGCCCCCAGCGGGGGCCACCTGGAAGGAACAGCCAGCCGGCCACATGCCCAGACAGGATCTGAGAACCACCAAGCCGGTTCCAAAGGCTCCACGCCCCTCGAGAGCGCGTGCTCCCTGTGCACGTGACCGCAGCCCTGAAAACCAGCGGATCCTCTTCTGTCAGGGGCTAATTTGTTCAGGCCATTTAACGTTTGGGTGGTTTCCGTAAAAACACATGTAGAGAGAGGGGCTGTGCCTTTGAGATGACCAAAATGTATTCTTTAGCTGTGGGTCCCAAGAACAAATCTGACTCAAGACAGGGCTCCGCTGTCTGTTTTCTGCGGGTAGAGAGCCCGCGTGCTAACGAACACGAATCCTTCAGCCCCGCTTCGGGGAGAGCCGTAGATCCAAGCCTCTCCTCCTCGCTCCTCTCCCTGCGCAGGCCCCGGACTCTGCGCCTGGAGCCTGCGTCCCACTCTGCTCTCCAGCACAGGACGGCTTAGTGCTACCCGAGAGGGAGCAGCCGTGCATTTTTTAAAAAGAAGAGGGAAACCTTTGCAAGGTGGGGATCGGAAGTGCGGTAAAAACCGCACACGTTGGTAACCGGGACTCCCGTTTTGAGAGCGACTGTAATTGCAATCATGCTCTCTGAGGCAGCGACAGGAAGACTGCCTCCCCAGGCTCGGGCTGACTGCGTGTCCTTTTTACTGCCACACACTAGGGCAATTAGAGTGGCCTTCCCTTGACAGGTTTCCAGTTCTTGAATAATAATCACCACTGTCTAGACAGACTGCAGGGTTTTGGTAAGGGCTTAAAAGAATGGGTTCTCAACCACCCACACGGGCCAGCTCCCGCCCCGCGGAGCCCAGCCAAGGCCAGCTCCCAGCACTGGGCTTCCCAGTGGGCTCCAGAATTCATATGGTAAATATAAAATCCCTGCCCCTTTGATGTCGCCTCAGACATGTTTCTTTCAAGCTCAACCAAGTCATTACTCGTTTTACAAAAAAGGCAGCACCAGATGTATGAAAATAGGCAATGTCTGACCTATTAGAAATATATAAAGTCTAACAGCTTTATGTTAAAAAGATGTTGTAAGAAAGAAGCAAGGGACAGTGGTGGCAAAAACAAAAGTGTTGCTTAGAATCCTGGCAGGAGACAAAGCCATGTGGGACTGCGCTCTGGCCACCCGCAGCGGCCTCGCGCCAAAGCGCTTGGGGGGCCCTCCCCAGGTGAGGCCCGCCTGGGCCGTGGCAGGTGCCTGAGGTATATAGAGACTGCCTGGGATGCTGGACCCCCACCGCGCGGCCCAGGACAGCCCGAAGAGATGTTCCCTAAGGCCCTTGGCCCCAGCCAGCTTGCGAGTGCCCAAGGCGGCTGCAGCTCCCTGCCCGTGCAGGAGCCTGCGTGCTCCCAGGACTCACACAGCACCTAAGCACCCAGGCCCACCCTCAGCCAGGCGTCTGGGCCAAGGCGCGACCTCCACACCCCCAACCCTGCCCCAGTCCAGGGTGGCCCCCGCCAGGTGCCTCAGGAGGGACCTCGTGCCGCCGCTTGGTGTGAGCGGGGTGCAGGGCCCCAGTCCTCAGAAACTCTCCACGAAGCTGCCCGGGAAGAGGCCGGTGCGGCCGTTGCGCTGCAGCGTGCCCTTGTACCAGCCGTCCTCACGCTTCTTGTGCACGAACACGACGTCGCCTTCCTTCAGCTCGATCTCCGCCTCGCTCTGGGGCGGGTAGGAGACCACGACGCGGTACCTGGGGGAAGCAGACGGCAAGGGGCCGGGTGAGCTCGGCCTGCAGGCTCCCTGCCACACGGTGGCGCCCTCCTCGTCCTGCCCAGTCTCGCCCCCAGGTGTAAGTGTCTGGAACGGTTTCATGTTTTATTGAAGGACATTAAAAAGCCATTTCCCCGGTGTGCTTCCAGACACAGAGCCCGGGCACAGCCTCTGCACTGCACCCTGCCTCGCCCCGACCCGCCTCCAGCCGGAAGCCGCTTTGGTCCAGGGGCTGAGCTCAGGGCATGGGGCGTTCCTGGCTTTGTCCCAGGCTGGGCTCCTGCCTTCCCCTCCAGAGGGACAGTTCCTCTGAGAAGCGGGGCTGTCTCCTACACTGCCACCTCTTGGGGAGGCTGGGCCCCACCTGGTATGGACAAAAAGTCATTAAAAAAAAAAGTGTTCCAACAATCCTAAGATGCCAGAGAGGAGGCCTTTCCCGGATGTGGCTTCTGCCCGGGTGGTCACTTACCAACTGGAGCTCAGAGCAGCCACAGCCGCTCTCTGGACTGAGGCAGGCACTCTGGGGATGGAGGCCAGGGGCCGACCCGCGGCAGCTGGCCCGGAGCCCAGAGCCTCAGGGCTGACACAGGCGCTCAGTGAGCGCCCGACGGGACACAGTTCTAGTCAGGCTCTCCTGAGCCTGCTTCTCCATCAGCCCCGCCTTGGCCATAAAGACGTGGACAAAGCCTGACACTGCTCCAAGTCCCGTCTCTAGGAGGATGGCGGCCTGGGGAACTTCCCGGCTGCCCAAAGGCTTCCGGTTCAGTGCGGCGACACCCGAGGCCAGGGCCCTGTCTCCCGGCTTCTGTGGGTGTCAGTAGCAGGTGCAGATGGGTGTGACGGGGGTGACACATCCTCCCCACCGTCTGTGGTCTTCCAGCTCTCTGCTGTCCTGAGCTCCCGCCCGTGAGAACACCTGCTCCCTGGCGTAGGCACCGCAGTTGAATTCAGCTCGTGCTGGGCTCCCCCGACCCAGGTGCGATAAGCTCTCCTCACCCCATTCTCCAATTCCACCAACCATGGATCAAAACTGCTCAAGAGTGATGGCACCTGCACGGACCATGCAGACTCCTGTCCTTGTAGTTATTCCCTAAGCAATCGGCAAACAGCCATTGGCATAGCATTCGCGGCGCATCGCGTGTCAAGCAAGCTAAGCTGGAGGCTGTGAGGACGTTCTATGCACCTACTGCAGGGTTTATGTCCGGGGTTCGAGCACCCGTGGGTTTTGGTGTCTGTGGGGGTGGATACTGAGGGACTGTATATTGCTGATTGAAATCTGTCGCGACCACTCACTAGCCCAGATACACTTCTGCTTGCAGTGTGCACACATGCGCGCACGCACATGCACACACACACACACGCTGCCACTCCACATCCGCCCCATGAACTCAGGGGATGAGGAACGGGCCCAAATCAGCCGTGCTCACCCCAGGACCTGCCCCCTGCTCGGATCCTCCCACCTGCCTGCTCTCTCATTCACAGAGGCCCACGGCTCATCTTGCTCCTCGCTCGCAGTGGCAGTGCCAGGGGACAACAGTTGAGCGCACCGTGGGCCGCACAGGGGTCTGCCCAGCAGGCTGTGGGACCTGCCTCCGGCATCTGGATTCTGTGAAGCTGGCCCTGTGATCTCCTCCTGTCCTGGTGGTGCCCGGGGTCTGGGTCCCGGCCCACCTCCTGCGTAGGGGGAAGGCAGGCAATTCCTCTGTCTCTCGTCTTCCTTGGGCGGCCAGCAGCTGTGACACCTGCTCCCCGGCGCCTGCTTCCCACCCCTGACCCTGTTAGCAGCAGCACACGATCAGCTCCCGTTAGGGGCCCTCCTCCAACAGGTGTCCCCGGCACCTGGCTCTCCCTGAGCTGTCCTCCAGCGACTCGGCACCCGAGCCTCCGAGCAGGAACATTCTGGTCTTTGAGGAGCCAGGACAGTGCACAGCGTGAGAGACCCTGAGTCAGCATCTCTCCAAGTGTGGCCCATGGACTCGGGGCCGCCCGGCACAGATCCTGGGTCCTTCTAGGACCTCCCTGGTACGACTCGGGGAATGGGCCAGGAATGCGGATTTTCCAAAAGAGCCACACACGCTCGATGTCTGAGAGCCAGGGTGCTGAGGGGCAAGTCCTCGTGGGCGGACACTTTGTCCTTACTCAGTCCATCTGTCCTGGGACCAAATGCTGGGCTGGGGATGATATACGGAGAGCAGAGACCGAGGCCATGCCTCTGGGGAGCTCCCAGCCCAGCTTGCTTTGGGAGGGCCAGAGCCCGAAGCAGGGAGAAGGGGCCTTCTGAGGCTGACTTGCTGGGTGTGTTGGGGCTCCTATCCCTGAGGGCTGGGCCAGCCAGGCCCCCGAGTCCCAGCCCGGAGGACCAGCCAGTGTAAGTGCCTTGGAATGTCTGCAGGTGTGGAAGGGCTGGCTCCACTCCCGTGGCTGTCTACAGCGAGCCAGATGCTGGCTCCCAGGGGTGGGGAGGAGAAGCAGGAGGAGGACGCCCCTGGCCTCCTCCCAGCCTAGTGTCTCTGTAAGGACCGCTACCGGCCCCTCCTTGAAGGAGGACAGATGGCTGCTGGGATGCAGCCAGCGGCCTGTGAAATCCGACGGCGAGCAAGCGAGCGGCCCCATGCCCACCTGTCCAGCGCCGAGGCTGTGTGTGTGTGCAGCACCGAGGGCCGTCCTGCCTGTGGCTTTCTGCCATCCTGCACGTCCTCCGCCAGCACCCGCTCCTTCTCTCGCTTCCCCCAGGGAAGGCAAGGTGAAGGGCGGGATGATGCTCCTACTCCGAAAGAAAGCCTGGCTGTGGCCTCACTGCCCAGACGTGAAGCAAGCCGCTTTCAGACCGTTAGGGAGAGGCGATCTGCTGCTTCTGAGCAAGTCAGTGATTTAATGTGCTCAGATGGATACGGGCTGAGTTTACAGGAGACAGTGCTCAGTGTCGCTGTCCAAATCATTCCAAGACTATGAGCTATTCTTCCTGCTCATGGAAGTAATCGACTCCCAGTTACAGCTGACAACAGCAGCTACGCCCGAGTCATAATTGTGGTGTCGTAAATCAGAGAGCGGCCCACCCCTCTGAGCACAGCTAAAGTTCTGTCAACCACACGGCTCTTCAGACATCGACCAGGCTCGCAAGTCCACATGGTCAGAATCAGGGCGCACTATTGCTGCTGCATATGGCAGAGTCTGGGGTGCCCTCGCGGGTCTGCCATCACCTGCCCTGCTCCCTGGTAACAGGCACCACAAGGAGGCCCCCACCCCCACACCGCGGCAGCCTTCTGCGAAGCTGAGGGCAGCGCGTTCCTGGCTGGGTGGAATGTAGTGTTCTGTTAGGAACTCGGTTATGACAAGAATACATCTCCCCCAGGCCTCCCAGCCACAGGAACTCATGTACAGCTGCTGCTTGGCTGATACTTGGGAAGGCAGTGGAGGACAGCTCAAGTGCTTGGGCCCCTGCTACCGACATGGGAGACCAGGATGGAGTCCCAGCTATCATGGCCATCTGGGGAGTGAACCGGTGGATGGATCGATCTCTCTCTGTCTCTCCTTTCCTTTCTGTCACTCTGCCTTTCAAATAAATAAAATACATCTATTTATTTCTTTGAAAGGCAAAGTGGTAGGCAGAGGCAGAGAGAGAGAGAGAGAGATCTTCCATTCGCTGGTTTATTCAGAGTGTGCCCTGCCCCTCTGAGTATGGTTAAAGTTATGTCAACCACACAATTATTCAGACATCTACAAGGCTTGCAAATCCATGGCCGCAATGGCTGGAGCTGCGCCGATCTGAAGCCAGGAGCCAGCAGCTTCTTCCAGGACTCTACGCAGGTGCAAGGCCCAAGGACTTGGGCCATCTTCCACTGTTTTCCCGGGCCACAGCAGAGAGCTGGATCAGAAGAGGAGCAGTGTGGTGGAATGAGAAGGCCCTGACAAGATGGCTGCTGGCAAGCGAGCATCAGTTACTCAGGAATGGCTTTGAAACCCAACTGGCAACGGAGCCTGCCTGGCAACAGGCTGTGATTGGATGGCTTCAGATACTGCCTGGCAACAGGCTGTGATTGGTTAGGGCACCGAACACCCCTTGACCACATTGGCTGTCTTGGCTATATAAGCTGTTGTACCAACTGAAATAAATGAGTCTGCAGGCTGCTGGCCTCTCGCCTGCTTTCCCACGTCTCCTGGGGTCTGTGTGTTGACTCCGCGCCTCTTGCCCCCACCACGCTCCTCCTTGCAGAACGAATCTACTTCAACAGAGCAGCCGGGACTTGAACCAGCACCCACATGAGATGCTGGCACTGCAGGCGGCGGGTAAATATTTTAAGTCAAAATGCACTTAATACCCCCAGCCTGGCCCACCTTCAATGTGCTCACAACACTTGCTGTAGCCCCCAGCTGGGCGGAATCATCTAGTGAGCGCATTTTACACAGTGCTGAGTAATTGATGTAATTCATAGAACAGGGAACTGAAAGTGAAAACCATGAATGAACGCAAAGTCAAACGATCTAGGTAGAACCATCCCAAGCCAGGACTGTGCGTTAGCTTCCTACTGACTGTTCTGACAAATGACCACATACAGTGACATCACACACACACACACACACACACACACACATGCGTGCACGCGTCTCACCGCCCATGTCTGGCAGCCATGCAACAGAGTTTTATTTGCTAAAATCGAAGTGTCTGGTTCTGTCTGGAGGTCCTGGGCGGAATCCACCTGCCTCCCCAGCCTTTTCCAGCTTCTACAGGCTGCTCACCTTCCCTCTCCGGAGCCCTTTCTTCTACCCTTGAAGACAACAAGGGCAGGTCAAGTCCCTTCCACGTCACAAGACTCCAGTCTCCTCTTCTACTACTAGTACTAGGAGCCTCCTGTCTGCACTGGGCCCTCCCGGGTGCCCCAGGACCATCTCTGTCTGTCAGGGTCAGCTGGCCAGCAAGCTTGAGTCCACCTGTCACCTCGATTCTGTTTTGGTCACAGTTCTCAGGGATTAGGGCATAGA